GGCAAGTTTTATAGTCTACATCTTCCATTAGTCATATTTACACTTAACAGATACCTGAGGACACCATATTCACCCTTGACTCAGATCTAATCACCAAGCACAAGCAACTTGAAGAGCTCAAGCAAAATGAGGAAGGCAAGCTTGAGCAATTCCTACAGCAACAGTTCAAGGAGATGTGACTTCAATGATGTTCCTGCTGAAAATCTCTCACTCACCAGAAGTGTAGTGGTTCTGGATAACGGGACACTTGGTCAGATTGTCTTACTCATATCTACTCATCCTCACCTCATCCGGATGCCTAGTCAGGCATTGGACTCTCTTGTCTATGGTATATAAGAGCTCTGTACTATGATGGAGAACTTCAGAGTTCTCCCATCCAAATCCCTATATTCTTTTGGCTGGTTCACACCTCAAGTGTTCTCTCGCTTTCTATCTCTCATATCCTATTGTGCCGTTGTTCTGAGTTCCAACTCCGGGTCACCATCACATATTTTGAACCTCCATCTACAACAACCTATACATTAAGTAAAACCTTTGCTTGTCGTGTCTGACAGTCTGATCACCCGTCAACCCCCGAGCATACAAACTCATACCAGTCAACAACCGCCCACCACATATGGCCAACCAAAAACACCAACATGTGTTACAACCTGCATGGTCAAAGACAAGCTCACTTGTTGTCGGCACCGCCTAGCCCAAGCCATAGCAGTGACAAACTAGGTTTGCTCACTCCGTCTCCAGAGACACCAGTGCAGACCTCTCACCCTGGCGGTAATGAGGTGCACTCAATTCATCGTGGGAGATCCTCCAAGCCGCGTGCTCATTGAGACCCTGTTGATACAGCGGTCATAGCTGAGGCTCCCATGTCTGATATGGAGGATGAAACCCCGCTTACCCTGGAGGACAGGAAGGATGGCAAGAATATATCTGCCGTTGAGGGGAAACTATCCACACCCCAGCAACACACTGTCACCAAAGCCAAGGACAGCCTTACGGCCAAACAGCGTGCACGTATCCGCGAGCACTGCAAGTCCATGCTTGGCAGCAAATCATCAAGTACCAGCAACAACGCGAGTGACAACTTGTCAGACAGCAAGTCAGAAGAAGCTCCACCCACCCAGGACAAGGGCAAGGGTGTAGACCCCAAGAATTGGGGAGCGTTAGAGCTTTCCAAAAATGAAATAAATGTGGATACTCAATGTGCAATGATGAGCGAATACAGCCGCAAACACATGCTGAAATGCAGCCCCATGTGGACACTGATAACAAAGACAACATCCCGGAACTGCAGGACATATCAGATGATGAGGACGAGGATGGAGATTTCCATATCCCTCACAACATCACTGATAAGATCAACAGGATGCGTACCTCACTGAAGTCACACATTGCACAGCTCAAAGACAAGCGCACAAAGAAAACTGCCAAGGGCAAGACAAAAAAAGTAGCTTCCGAGCCAGCCCCAGGGCCCTTGATAAGCGTCAGACAGGTTACATTGCCTAAAACAAAAACAAAGCATTATAAGAAGTCCACAACCAACGTAGCAGAAAGCCAGAATGTGGGGACATACCTGAACCCATGATCGAGTTAGCTGGCAATGATTCAATCTGCCAGATGATCAAAGAAACAGTCACAGACTATGCTGGACAGGAAAGACGCAAGGCAAAAGCTAAGTAAACCGCCGCAAAGAAATTTGCGCCATCTGCAATGAATGCATTGGTGCAGATTAATCCAACAAGCTTCCTAGAAAATGTGTTCCATCAGTTGAAGTCGGGGAAACATAAATTACTCACTGGGAAAGCAACAGCAGGCACAGGCATCCCTTCGAGCAGTTCTTCAAGCTCATCAAGTTCTTCCAGCTCATCAGATTCAGAAACCAGCTCCAGCTCATCTGAGGATTCAGACAGTGAGGATAGCAACTCAGACTACAAGCCGAGCTTGTTGTCACCATCTTCCAACTCATCATCAGAATCCTTTTTGTCATCACCATCCTTGGGCAGGGGCCGGGCGCAACGAACTCGAAAGCAGCATTGACAAGCATCGCACCAACAGTGTCGCAACAAAAAGAAGTGCGCCCACAAGGATACGCAAACATTAGTAAAATAGAACTTCGGTGCGCTCAGTAATGTTCGACTGGATTCGTATTAGGACATACCTTCGGGGTGCTCAGTAATGTTCGACTGAGCTCCCCCAAAGGCCTAGCTACTTGTATATACAGGACGCCGTCGAAGACAGTACCTAGAAGATCACAATGCATCAACTAAATAACAACTAAACAACTTCTGAAGGCGTGTGATACACAGAACAAAGTAGAACTATGAATATACGAGCAATCAGGTATTTGGAAGGAACATAACAAAGCAAGAATACTAAACAAGTTATCCGCAGCGGCGAACACGCCGCTGCCATCACATGAGTGCCACTACGCCCACAGGCGCGTGACGATTAGGCACGCGCGGCGTCGATCCGACATGGCGCCGATCTGTGATGTCGGCTACGACCACGCCTGATCGCCCGACACGTCGGCGCTCAGCGGCGCCCAGGCGCCGTGTCGGCGTCGATTTCCAACAAACATTACTCCAACTGGTCACTCCAGAACAATACAATGGTAGGGTCAACATGATGACATGCCACCACTTCATGACGGAGTCAATGGCATATGTCACCGATGGGAAGGTAAAGAAATCCCAACAGATCACACTAATCACACACTACTTGGATGGCCGTGCACGCAAATTCTATGTAACCCAAGTATCATTAGCTCCTCATAAATGGGGACTTACCAAGTTCTTCTCTGAACTATTCAATTATTATTTCTCTGTTGACTTTAAACTATGCATGCATGACAAACTGCATTATTTCAATCAGAGAGGGATGCCGGTTAAAGATGTCTTGTACAAACTCACCAGGTATTGGAATATCATTGGTGAAATGGATGAATGCACCAAGGTGCTGCATGTCTGGACATGTTTGGACAACAGCATGCAATGAGAACTATGGTGCAAACACCTCAACCCAGAGGTATCCGGGCTCAACGAAGTTGTTGAAACTGCCAAAGTCATTGAAGTGGCCAATAGCATGGTGAACAGAGACCTGGACAGAAGCAACAGGTCAGCCACTAACAACAAGCCTTACCGCTTCCCATGGGAAGAACAATCCTGACACCACCAAGAACAACGGTGTGGTCCTCAGTTCAAACCAAGTGGCTCCCGAAGACCGCCCTTTGACTTTGAACTCAATATGAACAGCCTACCATTGATGGCCTCATTGAGTCAACGACAACGACAACGAGAACATCATGACAGGCTCAAGAAGCGTCAGCAACACTTCAAGCCCAAGCTGAGCAAAGAAGAGCACGAGTGACATGTCAACGATGGGTTGTGCTTTGAATGCCATAAGCCAGGCCACTTGTCCTGGAACTGTCCAGCAAGTAAAACCTATGAATCAGACAAAGCGGGCAAGCTGCCCGGGGTTAGCAGCAATGCAATGACATTAGACTATGGTGATCCTGAGGTAGTACACACCTTGGTGGCTGGGTCTAGCACAGACAGACAGTCCTGTTGTTACTTCCAACATGATTGGATATGTCGACACATCCGATGGACGCAAGTATGTTGATTTTGGGGATCCACTACTTGAAAAAGCTCTCAAAATCCTGACAGGGAAGTATTACCCTGTTGATGATGTAGGCGAAGACTCACTGCTGTCCCCTCAACAGTTTTGATTGGAGCTGCTGGGACTATATTTTGATCAGTTCTTCCTGCATGACCAGGAATATTCGGAACAATGGGGATGGCATGTACTGTTAATCGACCAAGAATGGTTACTAGAACCATTGTTCTGCATGGACAAATGGTACTGAACTTAAGAACAGTCTTGCAGGATGGGTGTTCCTAAGAAAACCATCAAGAAGCAAGCCCGAAGTCTCACACACCAGAATAGATGGACATGCATGGGCAATGTGATGCCCCAATTCATTGCCAAATACCTCATGGCACTAGCACCTGTTGGGCCTGATGGAATCAATTATTAAGGGCTGGCAAAGATCTCCTGTAAATAGAATGCAGGAATATACTGCTATGAAATCTATGACAATCGATTCAGATATGAAATCAGGCTAAATGACTGGGTCATGTGTCGCCCAAAGTTTGACTTACTAAATTGGTACAAGAAACACCTGCAATGGTTGACAGACAAACTCCTCCACTTGATCCAAGAGGCACAACACTGGGAGCAAGACTGGGATATTGAGACCAGGGCAATGCAATGAATGGATTGAGAATGGCTGACACCTTTGGACAGCTATCTCAAAGACATAAGCCACCTACTCTATCCCAGTCCTGAATTTGACTACCTTATAATTGAGGGCAGAGACAGTGACAACAACAGTATTGAAGCCAACTTCACAGCAGTGGCACCCCAAAGGATTCCCATGTTGGTGCATAACGCGGGTGTCACCAAGGATTTTTGGCACCATGTCCCAAGCCTGCTGGTAGTTGTGGTACATATTGACGGGCAGCCAGCCCGTGCTCTGCTTGACTCTGGTTCATTGGCAGACTTCATGTTGCATAATTTTGCCAATCAGTTGAAGCAAAAGAAGGAGCAGCTGGAAAAGCCACTCACAGTGCAGTTTGCGGCTTAAGGTTCTTGTACTCGCATCAACCATAGCATCACTGCATATTTTCAATATCAAGGCACAGACTACAAACATTGATTTGATATTATGAACTTACAGAATTATGACCTCATCCTGGGCACACCATTTCTGTACCAGCATCAGGTAAGCATCGCATTCAGCCAGTCGAAGGTTTGCTCAGCAGCCTCTTCCAATAAAGGGGGAGGGTGTCGTGGTGGTTGAATCCAAGGCAGTGTCATTTCTGAAAGACAAGGTTAGTAAGGCCAGGGAATACCTACGCAAGTTAGCAGCTCCACTCTGTGCAAAAGCAGACAACACAGAACTACCACCGCTCCGTGCCATCAACCACAGCATCCCAGTAATTGACAAGAAAAAAGTATACCCATGGCGAAGGGTGTTATGACATGCTTTTCTTTCTCATCCCTAAAGAGGCAGGACCTCTAACTTGTTCGATATAATAGGAAATGGTCTGTGCGCATTCGTATCTTAGTATATAAGGCTCGCTCTGCTCGCCCATGTAACGCAAGCTAGTCCTACCTTAGAAATACTAGTCAATCTGATACCACTCTTGATACAACCTAGTACACAAACTAAGACACCCACTCAGACTAAGAACCTCGTTGTTGTTGACAACTTACTAAGACCCCTTTGACATCGTCCTCCTCAACGACCACGAACCTTTGACGTTGTCAACTACGGTGACAACTAATATTCCATACAAGGTAAAGACACAGTCTTAACAAAGGGCATGCTGCCCTGAACCAATGTTGAAGCAATGGACCAAAAAGAAACAGATGTATCTGAAATTGGGCCACTGGAAAATGATGACAGCTCGCAACACTTGCTCAATGATGATCATCGCTAAACCTGGACCAGGGCTGCCAGACGGCACTCCTTGCGCTTGCATCATCAACAATCTTCAAGCTCGGAACCTAAACTGCACTAAATTGAGCTTGCCCATGCCCAACATGGAGGGCATCCTGCACTGCATTGCTTGCAAACCATTCTGGAGCACGCTAGATGGTCAGGACGTGTATGAGCAGATCCGAGTCATACCTGAACACATAGATCACAAAGTGGTTACCACTCCAGATGGAAACATGGTGAGTCTTGTCATGCAGCAAAGTGACTGCAATGCGCCTACTACATACCAAGCGCTGATGAATCATATTTTCAGTGACTTTATCGGAGTATTCATGGATGTTTACCTAGATGATATGATCATCTATTCTGATATGCTCAACGAGCACATAGCACATTGTGAACGAGTCCTCCGTGTACTGGATGAACAAAAACTGTACTTGTCCAAGCGGAAATTGCAGTTTCTGTGCGATGAGGTTAAAATCCTTGGTTGGATTGTTAGTAACAAAGGTATACAGATGGACCCAGTTAAGGTTGACCAGATCACAAACTGGAAGGTACCGATCAACCGCACACTTTGCAAAGGTTTCATTGGAGCTGTTCACTGGGGGCATTGGTCGATGTTTCCGGGGAAAACATGTTAAAAACATTTAAAATGTTTTGCTCAAAATGCCAAATTTGGAAGGTGACCTGCCCAATTAAGAAGACAACCCTTAAAAACATTTTGGATGTTTTCTACAAAAACATGGGCAATTGCCCCCAGTGGTTGGTTACTTGGCTGATGATGTCCACATGTTTCGTAAACCCCTGGGAGTTTTAGAAGATGCAGCCGCTGAGGGGAAACCCTTTGTGTAGATGCCAATGGCAGATCACGTGTTTTGGGAAATGAAGGCTTATGTTGCTCAGTCTAAGCCACACGCCAGAGTACCACTTACATATGGACCTATTGTACCTCGTATCTGGCTGATGACAGATGCTTGCCTAACGGGCATTGGGGGAGTTGCTACCCAAGGGGAAGACTGGCGCACAGCCAAGGTAGCAGCATTCTTCTCTGTGAAACTGACAGCAGCTCAGTGAAATTATCCTGTCCACAAGCAGGAAATGCTTGCCAGGGTAGAGTCTATATGGCAATTTTGTGACATCCTGCAAGGAGTTCACTTTACATGGGTAATGAGACCATAAAGCGCTTACACACCTGAAAACCCAGTGTGACTTGTCTGGTCAACAGGCACATTGGTGGGAGAAACTGAGCAAGTTTGACTTTGACATCATGCCATTGAGGAGAACATCTTGCCTGACAAGCTGTCCTGCATGTACAAGTTTGATCTGGCAGGGATGGTCCAAGCACCCACGGAGTTTGTAAGATGGACCAGTTGGTGTGAACTTGGTCAATCTGATTCCATCTACTAGGGTCATCAGTACACCCCTGACAGTGGGTGCTGAGGCAGCAGCAGGAATTTTGCGCTGCAGCGTTCATGTTGCTGAATGTAGTCAGCCAGTCGTGACCAAGCCATCGGTGCTGCCACAGGATGAACAGGCCAGTGCAATACACCCAGAGGGCACAACCATGGCCCCAGGGAATGCAGCTGTAACAAAACCGACACAGAGTCAGTCTGATACAACCCCAAAAACAAAGGAGGACGTACCCACATGGGCACTGAACCCCATGACACTGACGGTGGAGGATTTTTGGACCTTTGCAAAATGCATGAAAGGGAAGGTCATAATCTGTGGTCCTAGGAACCCGCTGGAGGGGGGAAAATTGGAGAAGACTATGTCTAAACCAATTGAAACGTCAGAACAAAGCAATAATGAAGACATGTACCTACCATCAGAAGCGCCTCTCGGATACCCCGAGCAAGGTATAATGGAGAAGGTCAGAAACCAGTACCAGGAAGACCCAGACCTCAAGGTCATTGCAAAATGTGCCCTCTTCATACCCAAACTATGCCGTGAAAGATGGTCTGATAACACTTTGCATGCGGGACAGAATAGTCATGTGCATACCCAATGTCAGCGTCGGGGATCGACATCTGAGGGAGATGATAGATCAGGCCCATTCATTGTTAGCTCATCTTAGAGCAATGAAAACATTGCCATACTTATGAGAGTATGTATGGTGGAAGTTGATGGTACACAACGTACATAGCTTCTGCAAAAGCTGCCCAACCTGTCAAAGGAGTAAGCCTCCAAACCACAAACCATATAGTCTGCTGAACCCTCTACCTGTGACATCCCAACCATGGGAAGCTATTGGCATTGTCTAAGGACAGAGACAGCAAATATGACTCCATAACAACAGTCATTGACTTGCTCACCACCATGGTACACTTGGTCTCCAGTAAAACCACATACACTACAAAGGATGTTGCAGAATTGGTCTTTGTGGAGGTGTATAAGCACCATGGCCTGCCAAAGGCAATCATTAGTGTCTGCAATGTTCTATTCAGCAGCCAATTCTGGACGCACCTGAACCAATTACTTAGAATTGAACAGCGCATGTCTAGCACTTACCATCCTGAAACAGACAGCGCAACAGATGCCACGATCGCTGATCTGGAATCCTGCAAGTGAAGGAGAATACCTGGGAGTGCGCGTATATGCTCAGCAAATGAAGGCTGCCACTGTGGCAGCTCATGATGTGATATTGATGGCGCAAGTAAAGCAAATGCGCACCGGTAACCAACCATGCCCATTTGCGAAGAATGATCTGGTCTACATATTGACCAAGAACATCAGCTTGCCCAAGGGATCAGCAAGGAAACTTGTACCAAAGTTCATCAGTCCCTACCAAATCATAGATGACTTTCAAAACTACTCGTTCCGCATACAATTTCCAGCTTGTCTACAACAATGGGGTATACACAATGTATTCCATGCTTCATTGTAAGGATTCACATACCTTAATAATGACCAACTATTCCCTGGAAGGCTGGAGCACCAAGTAGCTGAGTTTGACAAGCCTGGTACCAAATGGGCAATCTAGTGCATACTCAGGCACCAAGGGAGCCATACTGATGCACTATTTGAAACTCTGTGGAAGTCAGGTGACAGAACCTGGATGCACTACAATAATGAGCTCAAGATGCAGGAAGCACTCAAGGACTATTTTGATGTACTTGGTGTCGAGACAATTTTTGATCTACGAGAGGGATCGGTGCAACCTCCAATGGACAACCCGCAAGTATACGCTGGAATGGTCAAATTTGGAGACAATGCAACCTGGCCCATTATAAAGACAGGAGCATGGATGGGGAGAAAACCTCATCAGTAATTACCCATCTGTGACACGCTATGGTGCAGACATCTTTAATCACAATGGAGGAAGATGAAAAGAAACATTGAGAAGAAAAAATTGTGCCAAAGCAGAAAGGTTTAGTGTCTTTAACAACAAGTTCCTTGTTGAACTCATCAGTGGGAAAAGTGAAATGAGGACATCATCTCTCACATTACTCAGCATTTCTTAGAAAGGTCAAGAACATCTTTGAACACAGCTCAGCAATAGAAGTTCTCAAACGTGTCAGTGAGAATTCCAT